TTACTCACATCACACTCCTGTCGCAGAGGACAGTACGACTTTACCCCCAGACCGCCTCGTAGCACGATTACTCGTAGTACGGGGTCTCGCTTGGTCTGGTCGCCTGGGGGAAACACCTTACTGCCTTCACACTCCTGTCGCAGAGGACAGTACGACTTTACCCCCAGACCGCCCCGCGATTACTCGCAAGGTGGCAGCTTCAGGTCGGGCTAGGGGATTCCACTTGAGCATCAGCTTGCGTCATACGCCTAGGTAATTGCAAAACGGTCGTTTCAATGCCATATTATACCAAACAACTTTTTCTAGTCCCCCTGCCTGGAAGCGACATTTTCGGCCAGAAGATGGCACAAATGACTTATAAGATCGCTAGCGTCCGAGAAACTGTTAACTACAATGGTGAGTGGAGCACCAACGATAAAAGAATATCACACGATGAATAATACTCGCATCAACGAACCAAAGAAGGAACACTTCCTGACGTTGTATCAAGCAACCCCAATGCGTTGATGTTTCCTGGTGTGAAACCATCGTTCGACTTGCTTAACCGGGGTTCGGACAGTCAGGAAGCCTAAATTGTGGGCTTCCTAGGGCGGTTGGGGAGGGGGGGGGGCGAGATGGTTCAAGNCAAGTGGTTAGAGCGCGAATTTACTGACTGGAAGGTTCGTGGTTCGAACCCGACCTCTGCCTCTCGACTTCCCCTGTCTAGGCTTGGGCAACCTGGCAGTATCCAAGCTCTCGTGCAACCTTCGGGTGGCATGACAGTTAGGCACCGAAATGGTGCTACAGCTGAACGATCTTACTAGGAAACATGATAGGGAAACACATGGTACGGAGGGGTCTTGATTGGGGTGTGCTTCGTAGCTGCAGGCCTCTGAAGGTCACCTTGTTAGATTTTTGCCAGGCAACCTACCGCCGTCGTCTACTATCTAACAAAATGAACAGAAAGGAGAAAAGTGTTCAAACTAAAGCAAAGTTAAAACAGTGAATGACTGTACAGATACCGTATAGTCTAAGATCATGCGACAGTATTCGACTGTTCGTTTTTGGACTTGGGATCGTCAGAATCCTTGTTTGTCACGACTTTCCAGAGGAGTCCAGGAGTATCAGCGCGGCGAATGTAGTAGAACGGGCGATCCAGTTCCCGTTTACGAATGAGGCCACCTTCTGAAGCCACTTGGTAGGGTGGGTAGATTCGTCGCTGCTCTTGAACGGTGGGTTCCGTGGGGATCTAACAGAGTGGAAGACAATGGGTTGGAGGGAAAATGTTGTCGACTTGGAGCAAGAAAAGATTAAGAACTGCAGTGGCAGCCGACTCAATGCAGGACAAGGTCAACTAGGCTGACAAGACAAAAAGTAAATCGATAAGTCTGACTGGACAACCTCAGCGTCTATGCATGTTGGTATAGCAGTGACGAAAAAGGGTCATGAGCGATGCCCTGGCAATGCCTGCAGCGTTCAACAAAGTATTTCAACAGTGATACGAGCTGCATTCATTATCTGGCTACTGTTCACGAACAAAATTCCCACATGGGGCTGGTTTTTTGTTCAGGAACGCAACAAACGATTACACTAATGGTAATAACATCTTTATACAAAGGGATAACTGCAGTTTGACCTGTGCATTGATGGATTTTCATCGACAATCAAACTGGTTTCTACGGCACCTTTAAGCTGAGAGAAGGTAGATAGTTGGATTAATATGGATGGATGAACTTCACGGGTCTGAAAGAGGTAGTCGGTCAGTTAGTATTTCCTTGGGATGCAAGTTGGGGAAAGTTATCATAAACATGTAATATGCGTGTTGGTGCGGAATTGTGCTGCCGTGTGTGTCAGCTCTAAACTATGCATCGAGATAGAGCCCGAGAAGCATCAATGGTTCAATTCAATTTGTCAGCTACGAACCGTGTATCATAGGCACACTGGTTCCCACTGCTACAGCTTCGATCATCGGGAAGTGGGAGAGCTTAGGAGATATGAGCAAGTCCTGGAGGCGAGGCATTTTCAATTGGTTCAGAAATTGGGTAGGTGCTCATTGAACGCAATGGCTTTGATGCGCGAGCACCACCGTTGTGTATATCACGGTTGTACGGGGGCTGGGATACTGCCAGGGTGCCCACACCTAGACAGGAGGACGATTAGGGTCCTCAACCAAAGCCTTTGGCTCAAAAGCCTAGCCGCAAGGCAGCGGTGTTCAAGCTGGAAATGCAAGTACATTACCATTTTTTACGGAACACGTCACCATACATGTTTCCCCGACCGACCTGGAGGGCCAGGAGACTGTGTTCGTCAGATCTCTACCCATAGACCGATCTGGTATGAGAGAATCTGTGTGTCGTGCGGACACTCCCCACTATAGCTCGATGGGTTGCCGAGGTACACAAACCGCCACACCGCGGTAAGGTCCGGTTTCTTCGTGACGGGACTGCACGCCAATGACTGCACGATTGGGCCATTTTTGTCAGTATCAATAGCCAATGGTGAAATGAGTCTTGGGGTCCCCACTCAGGGAGGTGGTAGTTGCCGACCCGACTAAGTTTACTGGTTGGTGTTTTCGCACATCGTTGCCAGGTCCAACATTGTCCACCTCTCCGTCGCTTCCACTCGGCACAGGGCTGGGCAAAAAGAGCTCTGTGAGGCAGACAGTCTTCTGGCATGTGGTGTACATGTTCTAACCATCGTAACCTACGAGGCGTGAGGAATTCACATATCGTGGGAGGGATCTTTTTTCCTAAGACCATCTGGCGTACTTCAGCATTGCTAACCCGATGTTCCCACCAGGCCTGACCAATGCTTCGGAGACACCGATGGTCAAAAAACGACATTTTCCGTATATCTTCTGCGTGTAGGGACCACGTTTCTGATCCATAAAGCAGTATGGACCGCCGTGTGAACTCTGCCTTCGACAGCCAAACTCACGTCACATCGGCGTCATAGGTGGTCGAGGTTAGCGAAATTTCCCTGGCTTTCCCGATCCGAGAAGTAATCTCATGTCAGCCGCTCCACCGGAACTCACACAACTGCCCAGGTAAACATATTTATCTGACACGTTGATTGGCTCTTTTGCAAGCATGATGTTCGGGTTTGATCCCACCCAGTCTTGTAGCAGCACTTTGCACGTGTGAAGCGCATGCCAGACCGAGCGGCAGTATAGCTCGCAGGATCATTGCAGCACAAAAGCCCGACTACCACGACAAGGTGACGACAGCCTTAGGTCGGGACATCAGTGGTTACGATATGAGATACTGGATCGAAAATCCGAAAAAGACCTGACAGTGTCGCACGCTCGGTTCGAGTGGCGGCCACGCAACGAAAGGCATCACGGCTGAGACACTCAATTTCGACCGATCGGGTTCTACTCATCCGAAACACGGTAAGACGAGAACAGTGACAGTCAACCTTGCATTATCATCCCCATCACTATAGACATTACAACAGCGGTGTTCAACGTCGATGTTTCGCTGTAGCCCAGATAATTTGTTACGACTGTGAAATGTTGCAGAGTGAATGTCTTCCGACGAAAGGGCCAAGATCGTGTCCCAGCGAAGAGCAGGACGGTCGAAAGGGTGAGGACGTACATTGCACTACGTCAAAATAAGAAATAGTTTGAGAGCTTACGATTGCTGTCCACAAGAGAGCAATTGAGAATTTAGTGTGAACACTGGCGCTTAAACGCTCAGCGTTTGTAGTTATCACCACCGGCACTGAACCATGGCTGTGAGCATTCAGTTTACACTGCTGTTGACTTGGATAATAGCAGAGAAAAAGGTCACGAAGTGAAACAGGTGATCAGAAAGGGAAAGGGTCCTAACTGAAGCTGACTAGCTTAGAGGTATAACCACACAACTGAATGTGATATACTGTCATTAGAGGGCGGGTTGCCGACTGAAATATTTTCGTAGGTTCTCTACAATGCTCATGAGCAATGTCCTAATCTTTGCAAGTGGCTAAACCGAACACGATACCTTGTGCGCTCCACTGGTCTTCTGGCAAATTCAGGACAAACAGCTGCGATTTCCAGTCTCATCCGATAGGTGCCCATTTGCGTGGCTAGGTAGAGCGGCCTGTGCAAGATGCCACAACTGTTTGAAACTATATGGCAGCACACCCATGATGTTTGGTCACGTGGATCATAGGTATAGCACTACCTCGTCAGATCTGTTAGATATGAGCCACCATCAGGTGACTGTAACAAAATGCAAGGCAGTTGGGTGTCGTCCCCTACCCATGGTGGGAGGCGTATCCACTAGGCCCCACAACCCAAACCTACGCATCCAGAAGCTTCTAGTGCGTCCAACTTAGCTGCCCTTCACTCAAATCTAGATGACACTTGTACATACATGCTACGCTCATTCCAACTGGTTGGGGGTGCACTGAACACGACTTCTTGAAAGAAATGGAGAGGAAAAGCAGTTTGCAGACGTTATCAGCTGATTTGACTCAACCTTTTTTGTGAATCTCAGCATACATCAGCAAACAAACTTTAGCTAGGTAGGTAGCTGACTAGAAGGTGACAATTGGCTCGTCACTGAAACAGGTAACTTGCCATATCTGACAGGATCCATGCAGAGTCACACGGAGTGCACCCAAAGGTGCGCGAACATCCCACAGCACAACAGCCAACAAGAGATGGAGAAAGAAAATAGTAACGTTTTAGTAGACGAGACGTCTGAACCACCTTACCTTGAACTTCATCTCATGCCTAGTGATTCCGCTTCGTCAGTAGATACTGGCATACTCACCATTTCATTGCAGCTGCAACCAACTATGCTAAGAAGGTATCGGCGACCAAACGTTTAAAACCATTTAAGCTCTTCGGTTCGGAGGGGAAGTTTCACAACCACCATTATAGCTGCGTTGTACATACGACACTCTAGCTTTAGTGAAATTCATTTCTGACGCAAGTTAGCAAATAACCGGTGGTAGTTGCCATTGGGCTTCCTGTTTAAGACAGGGAAAATATCGTGTTGCCTCCGTAGACACAATAATAGAGAAGGTAAGGCGACGTCGATTTACAAGAAAGATCTTGTCAAACCAGGGTAAGGCCATCTTAACATAACCCCGGTAGGGATTGGCTGTACGTACTCTGATGGTCAAGATGACAAAGTCCCGAGTAAAACGTGAGCACATGCCACACCACTTCTCTTCTGAAATGTCGTAAGCGATTGCAGAGACACCTACTCTCTAGAGCCGATAATTAGCCAGTAGACAAAGGGTTAAGTAATGGATGACTGAAGCCATTCGAATGCTGCAGTACCCGAAAACACATTGAATAGATGTACATAACAAACCACAACCTATCCGATTACAGCAATTTCAAATCTAATTGAGTATGGCTTAACCAACCTCCAGTGATGTAGGTTCATCTGGTAACTTGGTGAGCAGCAAGAACCCGGACGCCTCACGTGTTGCTTGCGGAAGTGTCGGATCAACCGATTCTGAGACAGCTCTGATGATGTTATCTGGGAACCTGGAGTGCCGACGCAAATGGAGGGTCAATAAGGGAGGCATTGGAGCCACACACTTTGAAGTTAGCTTCGGTGCCGCATTCTTGGGATCGGCTGCTCGATCCAGTAGGGCTGTAGCTTCACAGGTGGGGACCAAACGCCAGTCCGGTTCATACGTATTCGTCATGAGAACTACCCCGAAATCATGCCCACGGAATATACGACGGCCCCAAGCTCGACATCTGACATTGGACTAAAAATGCAGGATGGAAGGGAAACAAAAGCTGAAACTTATGCAAGATTACGTTCAAACAGAGCGATCAGATTGCTTCGATGATCAATAAATTTGAGGTTTGGAAAGGTTACTCTGGGGGCTATGCGCCCTCAAAACTGATCAAGGTGGCCTTCGATCACATACTGAAGGACTGATCGGCAGTTCTCTCAAACGAATGACAGAAACTAGCAGGAGCCTATCCCACAGGCACATTAAATAGATTTACCCAGCTGGTATGGAGGGAAATGAATTTGTTCGCATACCGTACGGCGGAAGACATTACCATTAGTGGAACATTATAAACACACACACACATTACAAACTACCATAAGACCCGAAGAGAGGGAAAGGTTACTCTGGGGGCTATGCGCCCTCAAAACTGATCAAGGTGGCCTTTGATCACATACTGAAGGACTGATCGGCAGTTCTCTCAAACGAATGACAGAAACTTGCAGGAGCCTATCCCACAGGCACATTAAATAGATTTACCCAGCTGGCATGGAGGGAAATGAATTTGTTCGCATACCGTACGGCGGAAGACATTACCATTAGTGGAACATTATAAACACACACACATTACAAACTACCATAAGACCCTTCCGAAGAGAGGTCTCTCCCTGCGGAAGAAAATATACGACCAATGTCTCATACAAACCACGAACTGATGTGCCATCTTTCCCTCAGAAAAGTAAACGAGGAGAGACGACACGTAACCTAACCCGTCTGTAGTAGGAACAGTCAACACAGTTATTTGGAGATACGTAATATCTGCGGGAACAGCAGGTCGCCCTGTTGCCCCTCTGGAACATAATTAAAGCTCCATAGACAACAACCTTTCTAGCTTAACGCTGCATTATAAGTCACATAAGCTGACTAGAAGCGACATAAAAGGTTGGTACAACGAAAACCAACAAACGAGTTAAGTTTCCTATCGACACAAAAACCCATGAGTACAGTGATCTGTGCTTCTGATCTTCGAAGCACACCCATGAGTACAGTGATCTGTGCTTCTGATTTTCGAAGCACGTTTTCGGGACAGGCGATCAACGACTAGGTTCATGCAAGACGCGATTTAGCGGTGCTATGCTTTTTCCTGAGACATCATTCAAATAGGTCTAGCACTCCGCCAGCCTACGATGAAAGGGATCATAAGTCACTGTAGGGAACTATAGCAGCAACATGACGTTGTTGAGTGAACCGTTTTGCATTCCAACGGAAGGTGCATGTGATGCCATATACATTCATTACTTGTCAACAAAGTACGGGTGGCTACGGGCTTGGTCGGGACCTGACATCTGCTGTTTCCTGTCCAATAGCCCTCGCGGTCGAACATGAACGGGAATGGACTAGAGTCAGCTGACTCACGAGGCAATCGTGTTTGCACGTCACTCATCACTCTCAACCACTGCATAAGTTCGCACTCAGAGGCTGTGATTTCCAGAGATGGCTCTGTAATTCTCCTAAGAACCTTTAGCAAGAATAAAGATCTAGACATAGTGTACCGAATAAGATGCCAAGTTCGCATCCCCACGAAATTTCGGGGAAGCCATGGTTTTAGCTCAATCTCGGAAATTGTCCGAGTTTGTTTTTCAGCTGAAGAACGTGTACTGACAGTCGTTCGAGCTGTTGGGAATCACAACCACATCCACGAGAATTATGAAGAAAAAGGACAACTCACCGAATCTGACAAAAGTGGTATAGTGCGCTCTAGTACATAGAAGCACGGTTCCGGGTATCGGGATGCTTCAGTTTCCTTCACCACTATTCGACCCACACCTCTTGTTTTCAAATTCCGCACAATTTCAGACAGAAGTTTGCCATAGTGGTGAAGAGATGGCCGACCTATGTACTGTATGCGTGGCATCTGGTCGGAACGTGCATAGACAACACAGACTGAAAACAAAAGGAAACTATAAATGGCTTGCGCAACGTGTTTAGACGAATACTGAACCAGAGAATAATGGTTCAAAGAATCGAACCACCAGTGTCCTTCATCATTATTGGTGGATGATAGTGATATCATACACGAATGATAGAGGTCGCCATCATAACTCGTGACTCAGACTTGTGAGCATTCAACGGAAGATATATCTCGCGCTAGTAGGGATGAGTTGTAAAACGAACTATACGGGAAACAATACGCTTCGTCAGAACAGTCTTCCTAAGTAAACGGTGGCTTTGAGAATATCCAACCATATGAAATACGCATTTGACAGAGCTTTATGATTATGGAGGCATCCTCAGGATGTTCCAAGGGAACAGTCTTTCTTGGATATCAGGTAAGTCACCAGAAAGCAAATAGTGATGGCTGAGCTGTCGTGTGCAAGCAGTAGTGACACTAAAATGGCAAGGCACGCGGTGTCTGATCAGCTGTTCCACCTAAAACCACTAATGCTCCTTCACTCCGCCATGATAAACTTTCCAAAGTATATATAAACAGTCTGATCTTGATGGGATCCGCAACAGACCTGACCATCGTTACTTTTGGATGGACCTTTACACTAGTATATTATTGACTTCTACGATGATTAGGATACTGTTGAAACCTCCACTTGCAAGTTCATTAATAAAACCGATCATTCGACTCATTCTGCCAAGCCGAAATCTGTAGTGATGAATACGAACAGATATCCCGAGTAGTGTCCGTCTACGGAGCGTAGGGACTATATTTGTACTCAACATCTCTCTGTATCTATTTGTGGTTTTAAAGATCAGATCCCTCAGTTGGCTTGAAGAGAATGTCCTCAAAGAAACACCCATATCCAGCCGAAGCGACCGGATACCACTTCTGTCATAGGAACAAGGAAGTTGCACACTGAAATCCCATTGGCGATAGAGGACTGATTTCGGAGTTCCGCTCGGTTTCATATGGTCCTTCTACCGGTTAGATTGACGGGTCAGTTGAACTGAGAGCCATGCGTTGAAGGCGAAGACCCTGTAAGTTCATTTAGGGCAGATGCTTCTACTTGTCCGGTATGTTATGAGGTGATATCGACAAAGTGAGAGCGATAGCCTTGATGAAAGGCCACCCTCAGCGGTGTAACACAGCCCTATCTGTTAGGGTCACTAACCGCGATTCGCAACAGTGGAGACGGCAGTTACCAACGCGACTGAGTTGACTGGTGATGGCCTTCACACTTTATTGCTAAGTCATGGACTTATCACCTCTCGCTCATCTCCACCTGACACAAGGCTGGGTGAAGAGGGCTCTATGAGGCAATCGGACCTCCAGAAAGCGAAGTACGTGGCCTAACCAGCGCAACTTGTGGGGTGTAATCAGCTGGTCTTTCGAGAGAGAGATTGCTCGAAATCCATCTGGTGTATCTTGCCAATACCCATCAGCCTCCACAATGCTTCGCGCAGCAAGGCGTCTTCGAAGATCTTCCGCACACAGCGGTTATGTCTTTGATCCATAAAGTAGAACAGATCGCATGGCGACACTGCACACTGACGTCATGTCAGCGCCACAAATAATGGCAAACACTGCCCTAGTCCGCCCAATGCGGCAAGTCTTTTCGTCTTTCACTAGCCCACCAGAACCTATGCAGCCATGCAGGCAAACGAATCTATATACCACATCGGTAAGCTCACCTGTGGGCATGAGGTTTGGGTTTGACCCCACTCAATCTTACGGCAGCACTTTAAACCTTACCGTTGCGAAACGCATACCGAACTGTGCAAAGAATTATTTGGGTTATTTAAAATAGCTCGCATATCTAGAGGGCCTGCTCCGAGAAAAGATAAATCATTCAGCTGTAACACCCTTTCGGTGCCTAGCTACCATGCCACGCGAAAGAAGCACGAAAGCTGAGATACTGCCAGGTTAACCAGACAAGGGAAGTCGAGAGGCAGAGGTCGGGTTCGAACCACGGACCTTCCGGTCGGTGAATTCGCATCCCAACCACTGGAGCCATCCCTCCCTCCTCCCATCTTTGAAGCTCGACGAGTAACATGTTTCATGGTAACTTCATCGTATCCACGGACCGATACACATGATAGACTTTTGCCCAAACTTCTTGTTGTTGTCGTTCAGCGGCGTCTGTTCACCTGAAAGGTACAAGCGAAAAAAGGGTGTAGCACTGATCTTTAAGCTCTCGGCGCGGGGCAGTAAGCTTGCCAGCGCGGGCACTCAACCAAAAAGGCGTCCAAAACGCTTTGAATTGGTCAAACCTTGTTTGAACAGGTAAGTAAGTATTAGGTCTCCTCGTAGGCGACGATACAGCAGGGGAAATACAGCTTGCCAGCGCGGGCACTCAACCAAAAAAGCATCTAAAACGCTTTGGATTGGCCAAACCTTGTTTAAACAGGTAAGTGAGTATTAGGTTTCCTCGTAGGCGACGATACACCAGGGGAAGTAGGCAAAGCACCAAGAGTAGCGTTACATAGTCCATGGATTTAAGGCCGGTAACCATCTTTGTAGCAGCTTTCTGAACAGGCTCAACGAGGGTTCCGTCCTTCTTGCGTCCTGAGTAGACAACATGGTTGGCGTATTCAAGGAGCGGTCTGACGTAGAACCCCCGGGCATTTGAGCCCCAGGATTTCAAGTCGACGGCAAAAAGTAGGCATGGACTTCAAAGAACATCTGGAAGGTTGTTGGAGTGTATCGGAAACAAAAGTGGCCCGAAAACAGAGCCTTGAGAAACTCCAATGGAGACCACCACCGAAGAAGATTGGGTCGAGCCTAATTTCACTCGCAGTGTTGTCTGATAGGAACGTCTTAGTCCAGCGTAGAATTTCCCCTTTAATCCAGTTAGACTTGAGACTTTGGTGCAGTGGGATTCGATCGGATGACTTTGAGAGGTTTAAAAAAGTTGATATCCTTTGTGAGTCTTTCGTTCTTAGCTAGAGTTAGGCTATCCATATATACGAGCATGTTAGTTGCGCAAGAACGGTTTGACAGCCATAACTTTATTTACTTAGGTAATATAGAAATTGGTTTCTAACGTGCCTAATTAGTTACAACTGTGTGAATCTATTCGCTTGCTTGTTGAGCTGTTTCATGCGTAAAGGCAAAACTCTGGACACTCAAAACCATTGCAGATGCGGATGAGGGCACCCGACTGTAATATGCACGCTATGGAAGCACCAGGGGACAGTGATTCTCCGGAGGCAGGTGTTCACGACAATTTCTATGGATGGAAAACAGAAACAAAGCTCATGAGCCAAAGCCCAGTAAGCAAGGTTGTACATCACCAATACTTACATATGAATCGAGCAAACTGACAGACACCGTATACTACACCGACATAATTCGGACATTGATGTCCAATTGGAGCGCAGCTCACCACTAAATCCATAATTTGAACCAATCAGAAGCCAGTAAAGCAAGGTTGTACATCACCAATACTTACATATGAATCGAGCAAACTGACAGACACCGTATACTACACCGACATAATTCGGACATTGATGTCCAATTGG